CGTTTGCCTGATTTTCTTTTCAACAGTTTAATTATACGTGCGTTCAATGATTTTCAATTGATTTCTCGAAAATGTTGTTAATTCTATTCCTTTAAAGCGTATTTTACGAAGAACCTGTTAGTATAAGTTAATAGTAATATTAGTTTCATCTTTCCATACTCAAAGGTAAATTTCAGTTATTTCTGAGAAAGAAAGACTGAAATGTAATATTAAAAAATACTATTTTGCTCACTGCCCGCAATGCACCATTTTATATTCTGACCGAGTGAAACTGCGTGTAAAGTGTATAATAAGAGCGTAAATGATGATTAGGAGAATGTGTGGTGTATTTGCCTAAATGTGCAGCATAATTTGTAATGCGGTAAACATATGAATACGCAAGATTGTGTCCTTAAATTACTTTATAGCCAGAGGAATGTAAGATACAATACTTGATGATCGTATCTCATCAGTATAATGAATGAATATTTGTGGTACCTCTGCAGCCAGCTGCTCTTATATTTCAGATATTGTGGAAGATAATTTCTATTTCTAAATCGGGATAATAATTAAGGTGTGAACATATAAAGGTAAAGCACAATGTCGTCGCACTGCATTATGTGTGGAATCTTCTCTACTTGCATGTAGGCGTGTGAATTTTTGACACCGTTAGAGTGTAATGTTATCTTTGTATATGTATGATCGATTTATGAATGTGACTGTGCACATATGCGCATCTGTGCACTTGTGACTTAGCAATATAACTACTTATATTCAACAAGGTACTTAATATCTTTTTTTTATCCCCGAGCTGCTATGTGCTACTTCTACCTCAACAATAACGATCTTTTTCAAGTTTTTTTTACATATGCTTACCCAAAATAATATACCATATTAATACTCTAAATCTAATTCTCACTTCCAATAAAATAACATTACATACAATTTTGTACAATCCTTTCTAAAGTTTTTTTTCTTTTATAATGCTCCTATTATCCAGATAAATTGCGTCTCGTTAACATTCCCTTTACGAAGTTTTGCAATGTTATAATAGTGATAATGAATCATGACAACAAAATTGATGATATGAAAAATATTCCACATCTTGTGTGCACTGCTGTTTTGTATATACCGACCAAAGATATTAATTACATATATATTTAATTTCGATTAAATTTAGGAAATCAAACTTTATTTGTAAATTACAAACAAATGTTATATAAATTAGAATATTCTTTATAAGAATACATTTAATAAAAAGTACTAAATAACCGATTCGTCTAATAATTTTCAAATTTGGTCAGCATATAACTTATCATTGTTAATTATACACAAAATAGCAATGCACAACACTATAACAACTCTGTTTTTAATAGAGCATCTATCAAAGTCAATTCTGTGTAATTTATGCTTAATATCATTTAATAATTTCTCTTTGCATTATAATAAACACACTCCAATTATTATTACACTCCTTTTACTCTATTGTCAATCAATGTAATTCAATAAATGATTTTTTGTGACACTTTCTATTATAATTCTTAATATAATAAATCTTAATGTAGCATTAGAATTTTTATATTCATATTTATTTTCATGGCTAAAATCAATTCTTTGCCTTATTTTATTTTAAAATTCAATCATAGTCAATATTTGCAAGAAATGGCAGTAAAGTAATCTTTCAAGAAACGATAATAATAATAATAATAATATATATAGTAATAATAATAATAATAATAATAATAGAATTATTAGAAATGACTAAATGCAACATTTCTTTCGATAAAATAATGTTAATAATTGCAAATAGCCAATTAGTTTTTGAAACAATGTAAATTTTCATATAAAAGAAACGATTGTAGGCCTTTGTCATGATCTCCATTTGTATTTTTTTTGGTCGTAAATCATTGTTTTAGTTCATTAATTTCATTGTGAACGTGTCATTTTTAACATATATATACAATGAATTAATATTATTATATTATTTAAAAACAAACTCACGTATTATATGTTTGAATGGAAACAAAATAAAGGGAAAAATAAAGAAAAAAAAATATGGAAAAAAATCGACAAAATAATTTGTAAGTTAGATCATTATGATTTTATACATTTTTCAAAAGAGTAAACAATAACTGTACAATTTTTCTGTTATAATTGATAAGAAAACATTGCATTTTTTACAATTATCATATACATACATATATATATGATAATTGTATATATATATTTCCATGAAAATTAATATCGTTACACTTGACATGATTTATTAAGCCTTTGAGTGCTGCAGACGCATATATGCGTTTGTCGATATGAATGCAAAGATATTACCACGATAATATTAATAATTGAGAACTAATATTTTGTGTATAATGCAAACTAAACGATCATCATATAAAGGTATTTTTATAATACTTTGTAACAAGATTTTATATATAATGAGAAATAAGTATAGTCCGACTTTATTCAAAACAATCTGCACTTTGGCAGAATATACACATCTTTAACAACACGTTCTACTGTCAAGTGTCAACAAGTGTGGCTGATGGTGGTATCAATATGGCACTAAAGTGATTGGATGGAACACAAATGTAATGCAGAAATTTTTCTGGTATCAAATATTTGTTAATTTTGTTCAGATACTTACTATGTAACAATAAAATATTGTTAGATATTTGTTTTCTTATAAAGATTAATGTAATCTATGCGAGAGTGGAGTGATGGATGATGGAGCATGATTCAGGATGTAGCCTAGCACACACAGCCAAGTAATGTGACACATATGTCATCTCATGCGATAACATGTGTCAAATTCAATTATAGTTACTGTAACAATAGTCATATTAGAATCGAGGCGAGTCAATGCAATTCCTACAGTTCCCTGATTACTACACTACATCTCCACGTGCGAGAGCATAATTATTTACTCACTCGGTAGATACTTCAAATATTTCATCCTTATTAATTAAAATGTTGAAACTGTAACTGTAATTTTATAAGAGATTTAAGAGACTACCTACACACCTATATCTAATAATTTTGTATAACTAAATATTACGACACAGACAGAGATCATGTCGCATAGTTACTTATTGAGTTAGTGGATGAAATATTTCAAACTGTACAAAAACAAAGTGTTACATGAAGCAAGACTCATCTAAGATCAACAATGACTGCCGGCTCATGGATACAACACTGAATTCTCCTTTAAACAACTCGTAGGTAACTGGTTGGCGAACCAATACTGTTTTGCCACTTCATGTACATTGTTATTGCCTTTTATTTCAAAAAATAACTGTACATTGTAGAGCCAATTAGATATTAGATTAGCATCTAATAGTATCTTTATAATTGTTATCTAAATGTAACTAACATCTAAATGTTAGTATTATGAGAATCATTTAACAAAATATATACCGATAATAGAAAGCAGTTATTACTTGTACTATATGCCAGTGGCACAAATTGAGGTACTTAGAAAAGACTCTAGTCACATCCACTTTTCTATGCGATTGGACAATTCTTCACTATATGCAACTCTGATTTCTGTACAGAATTTTACACTTCGGCATTATTTAACACTCATCACACCTTAATAAATGTAGCATTGAAGAAGTACTTACTATACATTCATTTGATTTACGTACACATGCAAATATTGTCACATATGTAGAAAGAAGCTCCATTCTTGACTTCTCCTTGCCGGTGAACTTTTGTAATCCATCAAGTTATTTTTCCTGCGCAAATAAATTCTACAGTTTTAAACGCTTAATATAATTGTGGCATTTTCATGTACTGGCTGCTTGGTAAAAATATCCTTTTATCAACTCCATCACAGCTAGTCTTAAACATATTCTGTCCTACTAAGGAATGTGTTAGCTTGACAAAATCTACAACACATGATTTTATGCTACCCACAAGTTGTTTTACATAGAGACATATATATACATATATATATATATATTGTTATATATACATATATATATATATATATATATATTGTTTCAACGATTAATTTAACCTTTCGAAAAAAACTAATACATAAAAATATGTATTTTTGTTACTACTTATTCTTGTAATGTGATTATGAAGCAATAGTTATTGGAATATAACGAGTAGGAAAAATTTATAATGATTTGTTAACTTTGTTTATCTAACAAAATATCCATTTTAATTGATAAAAAGTTTCATTGATCGTTAAAAAATGATATTCCTTCTTTTGTTTGCAACTATTGACATTTTTTTTAATAAATTCTATCATTCATTTTGTATACCGGCAGTCAAAAGTAAGAAAGAAGGAGAAAGCTCGTATATAGAGATTTAGAAAAAAATAAAAGTAAGAATAGTAACGTAAAATTAACGATAACCAATGATAGATATAATATAATGACGTGATGATAATTAATAAAACATTACTATGATAGAGATAATTAATATAGAGAAATATTATGCTGCCAATAATATAAATAGCATTGGAGCTATTAAAATATAGACTAATTCACAAATTAAATTAATGCTATAAATTACATTTATGTATTCTATATAGAATTTTTATAACAGTTCTATCTACAGCAAACTAATGTTTCTTTTTTTTATTTTGAATTTTACGGTGCCTGTTTATCGTTTTAATGCATTTGGGCAACACAGTAATGTTAAATCGACAGTACACATAGAATTTATGGTTAAACATAAACCTGTTTTCATTTGCGGACGCAAATATTTTATCAACAATATTATAATATCATTCCGCTACCTATAATAATGTGTATGTGTACGTGTTTGTCGTGGTGTCGTGTATGCATAATATATGCGTGAATACGCGGTCTTCTCATTTATATCTCAAATAATATGAATTCTCTTTTTATTTAATTTTTTTTTTTTTTTCAATAATCTATGTCAATCTCTTCATGTATATATATATACGCATCTTTATATATATATATATTTATATATATTTATATATAGATATATTTCTCTCTCTCTGTAATATATTATTATTTTATCATTTTTCTTTTTTATTTTTGTTACTGTTATTATTCATGTTATGCGATATTTATAAATATACAAGTCATTATTTTTAAGAGTGGTGAGCCAGCGCCTCCAGCTATGAATTGTACTCATGTACACTTATACATTTCATCATTAGACGCTACAGCTAAATAATTTTACTCGCTAGTTTTTCTATACCCATTATTAATTAACCACCTATCTTATATCACCCCCGTCTTATTACCTATCCGCAAAGATAAAGTGATTTTAAACGTCAGTATTATTCTCTTTTATAAAAAAGAAAATACAGACTGCATTCGATCGAACACCACCATATTGAAACAAGAGTTCCAAATAGTTTTTTCTATATATTTTCTTTCTCTTTTTATTTTCCCCTTATTAAACAATGACCCCTGCTCTGTTTAAAAAAACAGGAATTTTAATTATGGGTCTGCTTTGAGTTTTGCTCAGATTTAATACGAATAAACTTGACAAGATTCTACATAAACTCTGTCATACAGATCTCAGGAATGTATGACGTGATTGTATTTCACTCTCGTATCTAAGAAACTTATATAATTTGTTGATAATGCGATGAATCATGAAGTATACGTATGTATGTTCTGTATGTATGTATGTATGTTCTGTATGTATGTATGTTCTGTATGTATGTATGTATGTATGTATTTATGTATATGACATAATTCCAATCAAATAGCAAATGTTTTTATATAAAAAATTGTATGGTGAATAAAAGCAGTGTTATCAAATAACAATAATTTGCGCACAAATATGCGCAAAAAATATTTTTACAATGTAGATAATGTACAATATAGTATAATGTATGTATTTATTTATGTGTTTTATCATGTTAATTCTATTTATTACTATATTGTGAGATAAGATAAAAATTTTCTAGTAATATATTAAATTCAGGTTCATATTTAATTAATACATATATAGGTATATATATATATCTGAAAATTAAAGATAATAATATGAGTGTTTAATATGATAATATTTATGTAAGAAAAAAAAGGAAAAAAAAAACAAGGACCACCAACTGTACAGTTAAGCTATGGAAATGTTTGTTATTATAATAAGAAAAGAAATCATTTAAATGGACATGATCATATAGGCTTTTACTGTTATAAGTGAGTATATGATGAATAATAAAGTCAAAAATTAGACTACTTTTGAGTGTACTTATCTAAATATTACACAAAATAGATAAATTCTATTAATGCGTGAATCCAACGATTTCGAGTTAAAAATGATACTTGGCAACAGTTCATGATTATTCTTTATGTACTCAACTGGTCCAGCCAGCTTTGATATATATATATAAATATATGTTCATATTTAGAATAGCTCTTATTCTGTATGCATATTTAACTTCAAGCCAAGTCCATCTTTAACTTGTATATGGAAAATCTTTGGTTTTGGCAAGGTATTACTCTATACTTAACACATTTCTTTGAACAAGATGTTAAGCGAGTAAGATCTTGTTTAGCCTAGACATTTGCTATTCAAGGAACAATTTTTAACGTAATAATTTAGATATGGTTTTTTGATGAAAAATCAAACAACAAAAGTGATTTTTTGTCTTTCTTTCTGAAACTCAGCGTGAAATACTCACGTCTCATTTAAAAGACTTTCAAATGAGTTCTGTATGACATAAATTTCGAGTAATATTCAGTCAATATATATTATTTAAAACAGAAAGAAGAAAGATGATTCTCCGTAGCATCTGCCACATATCTTAAAAGTTTGTGGTCACATCTAGTTCATAGCAGTTTTGTCAGATCACCTGTCAATATATTATATCGTATAACTAGATATATTATGTGACTCTGATGTAGTATGTGTGTATTATATGTGATAAAGCCCCGTAATGTGGTGTATCACAGAACAATTGTAGTAGTTATCATATAACATATAATATTTATATCATAATAACCTTAAAAGATATATCAATGTTGTGTGACGAGCCATGATGGATGCATGAATAGTGATGAGAGAATGCAAGCGCTATAGTGATGCAGCGATAGATGACAACGGGTGGTAGGTGGTGGTAGTGGACAAGTGTTAAAGAAGGGAGAAAGGAGCTGCCGAAGCATCTCAAAGTGTGAAGAGGCGAACAACGGAGCCTGATAATGGAGATGATCAAGAATGTTGTACTTGAAATCAATGAATCATACTGGCGATGGCATTTTGACGTGCTCGTTTTGCTTCCTCTTCACTGATCCTCTGCTCGATCAAGTATTGAGCAGTGCCGATCGCATTGGGATAACCCGTGATAGTCACTATGCGGTTCCTGGTACCAGGGGCAAACATGCCTTTCTTAGAGATTTGTATGTTGGCGCCACTTAGGTGCTGAATCTCAATGAGGGCACGACCACCGGGTCCCAGAATAGCTCCCACTATAACCTCTGCAATTTCTATGTCTACTTTCTTGGTCTCCTTGTTGTTGGCGTCTACCTGTGTAGGACTCTTACTTACAAGTGATAGCTGGTTAGTGCCCAGACCAAATGAATTGTTGTTCAGATGAATAGCACTGGCAGCAGTGTTGTTCTGTCTAAACGGATCAAAGGGCTCGTATCTATCAAGGGTAGTGCGTGGAGTAGGCGAAGTTGATCCCAGCGCAGGAACTGTTCCAATTGGCCCAAAGACCCCACCATTATTGTTAGAACCATTGGCTGTTGTAGCATTATCCATTGGATTTCCCAAATAACTCATACTCGAGGGCATTCCAATACCCATCCCAAGGATATTGTACTTTGCGAGAGTAGCGATAGCGGTTAAAATTTCAGTAGCAGCAGGTTCTGAGAAACCTGTTGTACGCAGGTTCAACTTTATATGTTCTAAAAGTTGCGTTGTTACTGGAGCTGTACCAGCAGTGATAGCAGCACCTAAGTTCAAGTTAAGGCTCAGTCCAGCGCCATTCAAGAGACTTACTGTAAGAAATCAAATCATACAAATACATAATGTGTTTTTATTAATGACCCAACAACTATATACTAAAGTTTATAAAACCTGCATCATAAAAATACTGAAATGTACATGAATATAAAAACGACAAAAATAGACTTATGAATAAATTATATTTTACCTGTATTAAGACCAGCAGTGGAAGTGTACGTAGGTGTACTTGTTGGAGCTTGAGCATAGGGACTGCCTGTAGGATTGTAATTGGCAACTGGCCCACTTACATCTGCGTAACTGACGTTCAAACATGTACCACTTTGTGGGTCATCTGCTACCTTTGCTAGGATCATCAATAATGCATTTCGATTATTTTCTTTTTCACCTATTACAGTGATACATCGTTCTTGAAGCGATAAATCTTTAGCTTTCTGACTAATTTGCACGTAAGATCCAGATTCTTCTTTAATTTGTTTTATGTAATTACCACCTTTTCCTATAATCATCCCTGCAGTGCTGTTAGGCACTAAGATCTTTACCTAAAATATTATTAATTGTTTAACAATTCTTTATATTGTACTAAAACATTATATTATGAAAAATTAATTATCATACCATTAAATCTTACCTGTTTGTCTCTTTCTGCCATTGCTTTACCGGATTCAAAATCCACTGTGGTTTTAGATGTAAGATCTGGCTTTTCTCGAATTTTTTCCATAATGAAATCCATAACAGCCATTATGGCTTCTACGCTACCAGTTATTAAACATACTCTTTCGGTAGTGCCTAAAATAAAATAATTCAATAATAATAATAATTAAAGCTTTATATAAGCAAATAGGAAATGATGATACTAATAATATATCATTAAAAAGACAAAAATATAGATATAAAGTAATACCTGGATAAAAGTCATGCGATTTAGACATTTTTACTCTTGCTGCTGTATCCTTTTGAAGCTGGGCAATAGTTTCTCCACCTTTACCAATAATGGCTCCGGCAGCCACACCAGGGACCAATACTTTAAGATGATACGTTCCATCTCCTCCTACAAATATTCCATAACAATTTCTGCACAACAATACGTCATTGTATTCGATTAAAAACCTATGTAATGTCTACCCATATCAAAATATCAAAATATCATGAATGCTAATAAAAAATAATTGTATAAAAGCAGTGAATTAGTTAGACCAGATAAATGACCCAGAATTAATCTATTGCCAAAAAATTCCAAACACAAGATCTATAAAATAAAGTATATTATAATGAATGGTCGTATTAACGATATAATCATCGGATAAAAATCACGGAAAGAGTAGACAAAATTTGGTATTGTTGGCGCGAATAATAATCTCGACAGAAGAGAGAAAGAGAGGGAGAAAGAAAGAGGGGGGGAGGGGAAGGAAGGAGAGAAAGAAAGAGAATCACTAGTTCAATACGTAATCGAAAACATACCGTATATTATCGCAATAGAGAAGACGAAAGGGGTGACGTTGATTGTTCGCGATAAGAAAGACGAAAATGTGTGCGGGTAAGAATGTAAGGGTAGTAAATAAGGAAGCTAAGGTTTAAAGGTAAAGATATAACTCGGAAGAGCGCAGTGGGGGATCGGTAGGAAGTTTCGATGTGCTGAAGGCAAACAGCTGTTTGACAGATGGAAGCCCCGTGCGCTCGCTCGCTCGTTCGCTCGCCTCACATCGACCTTGACCCGCAACCTCGGCGGCAGCGAAACGGTGCGTGTTGCCTGACAACTCACCGATACGCCACATCCTAGTAACTCTGCCAGTTTGCGTCTAACACGGTGGTGGTGGTGGAGTAGTATAGTAGTAGTAGTAATAGTAGTGGTAGTGGTGGTGGTGATGATGGCGGGTGGTGGCGACGATGACGACGATGTGGCGGTGGCAACAACGACGACGACGACGACGACGATGACGACGATAGCAGCGGTAGCAGACAGTAACGACAACGTAGGCGTATAGGCGATGGCAGATACGATGCCAAAAGCGAGAATATAGAAGAGGTGAAGAAGTAGAAGAAGAAGAGGAGGTAGATACGATCTTGCGTTTTTTGCCAGAACAAACTTAAACGATAATAACAACGTCACTGTACTATGGAAATCCAACGAAGACGATGGTAATTGACGAGAAGTATAGGTGGTTGATGACATAAAAATTGACATGCGAGTTGCGTCCGTCGACAGTGTTGTTGTCGTCGTTTTCGCCGTTGTATAGTACCGATAGACGAAAAATAGGAAAAGAAAGATGAAGGAAATGTAATAAGGAAAGAGGAAGAGGAGGAGGAATCGACTCTAGCGCAAGCAAAGTAACTGCTGCCACGAGATTGATGACGAAGTTGCACAGTCACGAAACTGTCGAGCGTCTTGTCACGATCCTCCATTAACGTCGTAGACGACGACGATGACGACGACGACGACGACAGCCGTATCGCGATTGCTGTTGCTGCTACTCGGCCATCCGCTTGGCCCAACGAAAAACCCAACTCTCCTTCTTTTTTCTTCTTCGCGTGAATGAGAGAGAGAGAGAAAGAAAATCCCCAAACACATGCGACGCGTCGCCGCGCGGCGCACGACGTTGACGTTGGCTGATATGTCGACGTCGTCTTCGTCGTTGGTGGTTTCTATTAGTTTGACTTAACCCAACAACATCACCACGTAATAAACCGGATAGATAAAATGCGCGCGTGAAAAAGAAAGAAAGGTAGAGATAGAGATAGAGATAGAGAGAGATAGAGGATGAGTAGAAAATGAGACGTGGCATGAAGGGATGCGCAAATCGCTGTGCACCATCATTATACCGCGTTTTAGCCTCGATCTATGAGAAGACATTAGCTGATCGTTTACAGTCAAAACCGAAAGGGAATGGTCGATCGTTCGGTTGAGCGGCACAATGGGTAGCCAGGATTTTAGCGATCGTCGTTCGAGTGTATTAAAGAACGAACGTACATAAGAGAGAGAGTTAAAGAGGGAGAGGAGAGAGGGAGAGAGAGAGAGAGAGAAAGAGAGAGAGAGAGAGGGAGAGGGAGAAAGACAGAAGGAGCGCGCGAGGTGATCGCTGTGTCAACAGCAGTAACCACTAAACGAAATTGTCAAAGGCGCGCGTAAAAAGGAAAAAAGAGAGAGAGAGAGAGAGAGAGGAAGATGAACGTGACAAATTAATCGAAAGGGGAGAAACAAGGAAGAAGGAAATGCATTGATGTTTGGATGCATGGATGTTGGTGCATGGAGATGGGTGGATGGATAGATGATAGGAGAGAGGGAGGGGGAGAGAGAGAGAGAGTGGGCAGAGGAGTGGGGAGAGGAGAGGAGAATCGTGCGTGCGACCACCGAGTTAGAATGCGCATGAGAAAAAATATTGGTATGAAAGAATCGTCACGGAGGACGTTCGATAGAATTACCTGATCCATAGTGGGACCTTTTCGTCGCGCCATCCTCCGCGTCGCAGTCGAGGGGCCGCTTTCTGGAGTCTGCGATCTCCGGGGAGGGACACGTCTCCATTCCTGAATCGGCGGCCATCTTGATTCGGTCGTTCAGAGCGTAACGCAGCGCACACCCCAGGTTACTACACAGAGCCACACACACGCACGCACACCAAGTGGGAAAAGATGGAGGGAGTAAGAGCGATAGAATGACAGGGACGGTGCTACTTTTCCAATCGCCAAGAGTAATGGGAAGGAAAGAGCGAGAAGGAAAAATGGAATATATATATATGAGCGATAAAGTGAGAGAGCGAGAAAAAGAGAGAGGAGAGAGGAGAGAAACGTTGATCGACGAAGGGGGCCAGGTGTCGTGGGTCGAACAACGAGCGGTCAGCCAAGGAGCTATCACCACTCACGATATTTTCTAATTAATCGAACCGAACCGAACGAATGTACAAACGAACGGAGGAACGTACGCACGAGCACGAGTTACTAAAGGATTTTCGAGGTGACGGATGGCAGACGTACCGCGAACGTACGTACGCACCGTACGAACGAACGAACGAACAAATGACACGCTCGCGGGCTGCCGCGTCTCACTGGCAACTGCTCGCGCGCGGCTCCCTTGCCAACCAGCTGGTTTGATACCCGATGGTGCGTGCCTCGGTTCTCGCGTTCCTCTCTTAAGCGCGCGCACCATCTTTTGCTCTCTCTCTCGCTCGCTCCCTCTCTGTTTCTATATTTCCCTCTCTATACCGTAGAATCTGTCTTCCTCTTTCGCACGCTCGTTTGCTACGACCTGAGCACCAGGGACGCCTCTCTCTTTCCCACCGTACGGAGCTCGCGGGCTTTCTTCGTACAGGGCCGTAACACTCGGCTTCGATACCTTAACCTCTACGACGCTCTTTTGTGTCCGAACAGTATTGTATCCTTTTCCTCCATCGAATGTATATTTTTTCTCTCGATTTATTAAAGCAAAGGTCGCTCGCCACCATCGACAAGATAAAGATCATTAGACGATATATTTCGCATTTATTATAAAAGAGTCAAATGCATCAATGCTGCGAAAACACTGGATCGTGTTGGTAAGAACTCAAAAGTAGGTCATCCGTCTAGGAACGAAACACCGAATGAGATGACCTAATAAAATTTAGAATAATCGAATATCACACGATCAGTGGTTAGAACAAATCGACCAATTTTGATAGCGATTATTTCCCTTCTCTTTAGACATCCCGTTCCCTTCTCATTTAGTTACTTGAGTTTTAAATGCGTCATAGCGGGAAATTCGTATTTATACAAACGAAACGAATTTCAGTCACCTTGCGTCGTAAGGTGGAATACAACGTGAGTCACTATAATGTTTTTATTTCTGCTCTACTTTTCGATTTTGTTAGATTTGAGCATCGATTTTGTAATGAAAAAAATATTTTATAAATGTTTTACGGAAAAGAAATATATATAAATTCATGTATATTTTTAATTTGATGTCAAATAACTTGAGAGTTATTTTTCTCGAGTATTAGTATTCTTGTAGAGATGCACATAAATAAATAAATAAAAATGAATTTAGAGAACACAGAGAGAGAGAGAGAGAGAGAGAGAGAGAGAGAGAGAGAGAGAGAGAGAGAGAGAGACAATGCGTTAATTATAAACACTTGTATTTCTAATTTAGAATATTACAATACCAAATAGATATGAATTTTTACATACACGATTATGCATTTTGTATGTTAAATAAATGTTCACGCGTGTTAAATGTATAGAGTTGCATAAATTTTCTTCCGACGGATCAATTCGTATGAACGATCATGTAAGTTAATGATGCGTTACGTGACAAAGGTTTACAGACAAACGGTTAAAAGGAAAAAGAATACGATCACTTTTAAAAAACATTTCGGAGTATAGTATATTGCGATTGATCTTTCAATTGATTGCACAACAACTTGTGATAAATATTAAATATATGTATATANTTTAATCGCGAATTGCTTGTAGAACACGTAGTAGATATATACATATAATATATGTATATATATATATATATATATATATATATATATATATATATAATGGACGTAAATAAAGAGTAGAAAGAAATAGAGAGGGAGGAAAGAGAAAGAGAGAGAGAGAAGGAGGAAGAGACTTCGTAACTATCTGCATCTGCATTTGCATTTCCGATAGCTTTGGCCTTACAAGGTCATTAGTGTCATTCTAACGACATCAAGTAGCTTCCTATATCGAAGATCGCACGCGCTTTATAGACGATGAAATGCGATTTGATTTTATATCGAGCATTTCAATCGTTCTTCTATTCACCTATCTTTTTATTGCCACTGACATTCGTTGGTATCTTGTAAGAGATTAAGGCACGATAGTTAAACGTTGCAATATCGAGTACGTTGGTACTGCAAGTTTGCCTTCCAATCATGCAGCAGCAGTAATAACAACAACGACCATTCTTGAAACATCGTACCAAAGTTCCGTTGTACATGGGAAAGTACGTCGTGACTATTATCAACGTTTTAGTAAATACCGATTAACGGGAAAATGACTGTAGATTGTATACTATACTTTGGTTATCTTTTAACAGTCCTGTTAGCATACAAAGTATGATAGGTTCAAAATATATAATTTATATAAGAATATTCGCGCGACTTAGAAAAATGTTTTCTAATATTTTAATAGAAAATTAATATCGTTATTAGGTAAATACTTTCGAAATACACACCGATAAAACTGTTATTGGGAAAGATATTTATACAGATGTACAAATAGTTTTATCGTTTAAATCATTACGAAAACCTTGTTAATTATAAGTATTAATGTATTTTTAATAATGTTTATATTCTACAATACTGATTATAAAAGAATGACATTGAAACAATTAAACGTATTTATTATTTGAAGCAATTAATTCGTTGCCTTGATATTAAATTCATTGCATCAAAATCGCTATCTTTGTTCGTCAAGGAAAATAAAAAAAATAAATATTAAATTCGTTAAAAAGAACACCAAGTTAATTGCTATATCTAATATCTAGATACATAACATAAAAAGTAAAGCAAATAAAGCAACACCGAGTCTCTCTGTATTCCAAGTTTACAAATTGTTTAAAGAGTTAATTTTAAATATTAAACAAAATTTTTCAAATGATATATTTGAAAAAGTAGCGACTCAGACGAAAGCGATGCAGGCTAATGCGTCATTTCCTAACATTGATTACGCGCACGTTCCGATTCGATGGGATCCTAGCGTAGGGAAGGGACATCATTGACTTTAGTCACTGCTAAACGGACCTTTTTCAACGTTTAACCGGAGGGTTGGCCTTATAATGCAAGCATATAAATCGTTATATAATAGATTACTATAGTAATAGAATAGTCTCCTAAATTATTTATTATTTAATCGTTTTTATATGAGTTCGAAGAAAGAGCCGAAAAGTTTTTGACAAAGATTTGAAAAATTAATAGACCCATTCTAATCGCAATATAAATATACCATTTGATAAGAAAGACAACGAGGATAATAACGACAACCTATGTTCGTTATCATATAAAAAGATTTTCATTAGTTAGACTACTAGATAAAAAAACAGAATTATCTTGAATGAATATCAAAGTCCAGGGAGCAGCAGTGTCGTCGTCGTTATCGTCGTGGTCGTTGTCGTTGTGAAAAGTCAAGAGAGAAAATGAACAACACTAATACGTAGATACATATTTTTGGGTCGCATTCGTGTGTCGCAATGCCGTTGCTCGTCTCGAGCGCAGCGCGACTATTGCGACGAATCGACTTGAAATAATCGACGGCTAAAACAGAGGAAAAGAACAGCTTCATCGAGTCGACTGGGCTCGGGTCTTGAAAGAACGGCTCGACCAAGTTGCCACGAATATCACGATTTAATCATTTTTACTAAACAAAAAGAAAACTTTATTCTCCTACAAATCTTCGTTTTTATCCTCCCCAGTAAAATAAACTTCGATCTTTGTTGATTAATTGTTTTGTCGAAATACATATACGCGTGTGCGTGTGCGTGTGCGTGTGCATTAATAATTTATATAATTTCAACGACGAAAAGCAATATATCTTATCGTTGTACAATGTTTCATAGTACATTTCGTGAAAAGAAAGTTGTCAAGAATATAAGAAAAAATAAATAGAAAAGACAAACAAAGGGATAACATTTTTAGGTGAACCAATCGCGGATAAACTCTTCCCTATAGTACGGATGCACCGTAAGTGCAACGTGCGCAGCTACACGTTACAGCAACGCGCATACACGGGTGCGCATGCGCAGATAAAAAACTCACCTGCGCGATTAAATCCGTCCATCCAGAATCTTTTTCGCATCAGGACCGATACTTTGGCGCTTTTCTCAAAAGACTCGTATCATTCTTCTTAACTTGGCTTATTTAATTGGTGCCACCTTATTAATTACGTACAACACGTGTCTTTTCCTCCTTTTTTTCACGTAAATTACGAGTTTGTATTTATAAATGTGATTCGATGTTTTCCTTATCGAAAAATAATACTTTTCTATTATTCACCGGAAGTTATGTAACACGACGAACGTACAAGCTGTGACCCAAGCGAAGAATCAAGGGTTAAAATTTCACTCTATGTAATTATATACATTGGAATAGAAAATAAACGGAGAAGGAAGAAGGGAGTAGGAGAGGGAAGAAAGAAAAAAAGAAATCCTTTGGCCTTTTGAATTCACGTACACGCTTGGCTAATAATCTTGGAATTTTTCCTCCATTACGTCACATATTCCAGTAGTAGTAGTACTAGTAGTAGTAGTAGAACATAGTTGTATTTATGAAGCGAGCATCTCTAAATACACGCGTGTATACATGTAAGAAAGATGTGACTACAGCGAACCGGTTTTAATGTATGACAAATATTCAATTTTGATTATACTTTAATGTATATTCCTTTCGATTTAGCAATAAAATAAAAGTGTGATTACATTATCCTTGATCTATTAGAAATCGTTCTTAAGGTTTTAGAATCTCGTACATATTTCATTTTAGATTAAAACTATACTACACAAAACGATACATTTATATATTTATATATATGTATATATAAATATATTGCACGTGAACGTGCACGTGTATTGTGTGGCACGTACAACAAATACGTTCGAATGCATATTCCAAGGCCGTTGGACGCTCTGACATACTGTAGCAAAGTTAGTGCAGTATCCATAAAATCTCGGAGCTGTGTATCCTTCGTTACAAATTATCTCGACGTTCTCGTACCGACAAAAGGAAACTGCATTTATAGAAATGTTCTTATTGCGTTGCGATTTTTCTCTCTTTCTCTCTTTCTTTTTCTTAGAATCATTCACTGTCATCTTAAAGATAAACAGTAACTTATTGTAAATACGTATAGCATCTTCTTACGTTAGGAAAAGAACATATCGTTGGGTACGCTCCTGCGGAAGTTATACCCAAATCAATTTTGACCTATATACGGTGCAGCAGCAGCACCAGCAGCAGTGCCTCTGTCGATTACAGCTTGGCTCGACTTTGAATCACTTTTCTGATCAAATTTAATAACGTTAACGGGATTGTAAATATCTAAACGATGTCTTTTGATTGTTACTGAATACGAGACGAAACTTGTCGTGTTTTAAATGGACTAATGTACTAATGTAGAATATCGATATCATTTCTCACTCTCTTTCTCTGTGTCTCTGTCTCTCACTCTCTCTCATTCTTCTTATTCTTTGTTAGGACATATGTGTGTGCATATATATGTATGTCTGCGTGTGTGTATGCATGTATGTATTTAGAGCACTGTGTGATTCCTTGCTTCACCGTTCTCGTTTTTCTCAGCTGACCTTAATTTAGTCTAGGGTGTTTAAAGATCGACGATGCGCTATGTTTTTTTCTTTTTTTACTGTAATTTTTTTTATTAAATTTTTCTATTTTCGTCATATGTATAAGATATTTTTCTTTTTAATTTTAATTATATCGCGATTTAACGAGGAAAAAAAAATACACACCAATCGCGAGAGGAAGAAAGAAGAGAAGAGAAGAGAGATGAGAGGAAGATGATGAGGTGGAAGAATGTTTGCGTTCTTATACCTATATTATGCGTTTAACACGTAATGAATCTTTAAGCCGTGTCACACCCTTAAATAGCTGGCATACATAAAATACGATAATCTCGTAATATTAGTATAATAAATAATACTTCGCGTTTGAACCGATATCGCGTAATTTTGAAAAAATAATTATTGTCTGTCTTGTCTCTAGAGCGCGTTTAAATAACTTCCTAAGATACGAATGCTTCTATTTTATTTAAATAAAACTTATCTGAAGATCTCGATAGACTTATACTTTATTTTAAGAGTTAACCTTTATAAAGTGATAATCGATTAACAAGATTTTGATAATTATTTATGTCCATGTCTGCTTTACTTATTCTTCCGTATAAAATTCAACATTTATATATATATAAGATCAGTATTATATTATATCATTATTAGAAAAAGAAAAAAGAAAAAGTAAATTATTATAACTTTTTTTCTTTTTTTTTAGCGATGATGCAGTCGTTTCAAATGTTTCCTTACTCATAAAATTCTATTTAAATACTTAGATATAATTAAGTAATCACATTGTTATTGTGAATATAGACGTAAGAAGTTGTGTAAGATATTTATATATATAAAATATATATGTATTAATATATACTTTATCGTATAACTTACATTGCGTACGATTATTGAACAAAAAAAATCGTATTAATATTTGTCTGCGCCTTCTTCGGACAATACAAACCTAGCCACGTTTGGTTTTATCCATTTCGCGCATGCGCACCGATATCCAATGTTTCAAAATGTCCTATTGTTGCAAGAGGTTTTTGTGTTTTCAATTTTCCTCGGTTAGTGGTATGTTCTTTTTAAACGATATCATTAGAAGTATAATAATAATATAATAGTGGTGAATATATAAATCGTGTGAATGTGAAATTTATTACATACTAGATATAATATTAATTTAATAAAGTGTTTGATAACCAACAAATTTGAAATAACCTTACAGATTATCTACAGAAACTGAATTGTCAGTGAGAGCACTGGTGCGTGGTATATGTCGAAGAGATACTAATTACGTAACGACAGTTTATAAGGTATATTGATACGTGATGAAATATTTCAACTAGTAGGTGTTTAAAAAAAGAAAAACACTTTTATTTCTTATTATAAGTCTTTATTCGTATTATAATGAACGAACATCTTGATGTTGCAAATGTGAATATATTATTTTTTGCAAAAGCACGAGAATTAACAGGAATAAAGGAAAGTAAAATTATTATCAACAGAGATTTATCTTATAACGAACTATTTAAGATAATAGTAACGACTTATCATTTGGAAAGTATAAGTAAAACACTGATCTTAGCTGTGAACGAGGAATTTGTTAATGAAAATTCTCCTTTAAACTTATTGGATGAAAACGAAGTTGCTGTTATTCCACCAATAAGCGGAGGTATTCTTATAATTAATTTAATTATTTGCAACAGTTTAAATCTATTAACATATAACATCAAAATGTTCTTTCGTTTTTAGGTTAACATGGATACTGGAAAAAATTTTGTTCAGTTGGAACAGAAAGTATTAAATTTTGAAGAAATATATAATTTAACACTATCACCTAAATGCGGTGCAATATCTTCTTTTGTAGGAACTACACGTGATAATTTTGAGAATAAAAGGGTATGTTTTTTCTTTTTCTTTTTAATATTTATACAATGCATATTGCAATCAAAGTTAAGTAACCGATTTGTGTTTCAGGTTATTAAATTAGAATATGAAGCTTATGAACCTATGGCATTAAAAGAAATGAATAATATATGTGACAAAATACGTTTGCAATGGAATATTGAAAATATTGCAATATATCATCGTCTTGGTGAAGTACCAGTGACAGAAGCTAGTGTTATTATAATAGTTTCTTCTCCTCATAGACAAGATTGCCTTAAAGCTGTGGATTATGCTATTAATTCCTTGAAAGCTTCCGTTCCAATATGGAAGAAAGAGATATACGATACCAAAGAAACTAATTGGAAGGAAAATAAAGAATGTAAATGGTCAAATATTAAATAATCCTTTAATGTTACCTTATTTTTGTATATTTAAATATTTGTAAAATATTTCATCATGAAATATGTGTACTTCGACATAGTACAATTTTGGGGGAATTTTTTTTCTTATAGTGAGGTGGGAATTATTTGTTGTTAAGGTGAAACGGGTATTTAAATAGTAATATTTATAGTATATATATTTCATATTTAGCATAATAAATATTTGATATTAAGGTGCATAAATTATTATCTTTCATAAATATTTACAAACACATTTACATATGTTCAATATTATTAATTATTTAAGATACATTTAATAAATATGTTATACCAAAAAGTTAATGTACATTTTTTGTGTAATTAATAGTAAGAACACAAATGAATTATTAAGGAACTAAATGACTAATGTGTGATTTATCTTCTATAGATACTTTATATAAATTATTACTTTCTACAGGTACTAATAATGATACAGTAGAAAATTTGAAGGATTCGCTTAAAAGTTTATGTTCAAATGAAAAAGATTCTTTTGAAGACGTAGAAGCTCCAATTGAAGAACCTGTTTTATTTGATCCCAATCTTGTACAAATCAAAGCAAACTCAAATGAACTTAAACATAGAATAGAATCTTTTATTGAAAGAAAGCGTCAGCAAGTAAATTTAGTAAACATACAAGAATTCTGTTGTAACAGGTTGGAATATGATAGAATGTTACATTAAAATAACTTAAAATGTATCAATGTAGATTTGAACATTATAAATTGAAATTTTATTTATATTTTAGAGAACAATATAATGAGAAACAAAATTCTTGTGCAAGAGTGGATGCTATTTTGATTAGAAGAAAAGATTCGAAAAGTCATGTTAAAGGTAAAATAAATTAATATGTATTTTAAGGAGAAGGAATAATCATTGTTAATTTATATGTGTATGTTTTTAGTACATAGAGTATTAAATTCATGGGGACCTCAAACGGTTGACCGATCACGTTTGCACAATGCCAATAATTATACGACAAACCGACAAGATAATAATAATTCTTCTTCGGTGTTAAATGACCGGATAACTACCGCTGAAAAAATGTTAGGCATAATAAAACCAGTTCCTCGAGACGTTTATGAAAGATTAAAAAATATTGAGGATAGGATATTATTTTTGGAAGGTGTATCTCCCGAGTATAAAGATTTTTGGGTAAGTAATTAAAATAAATGATGTATATAATGATTGAATATTATATAATCTAAATTATATTATATGATTGTAGATAGGAGAAAATATGGAAAATTTAACAAGGGATATAAAACCATTTAGAAAAAGGGTAAATACTTATCAATCTTATTTCGTATATATTTTTTGTACACTCACATGGATTAATTTTTATTAAATTACATTAATAATATACGATTGCAGACATATTCTATGGCGGAACTCGATTCAAAATTGCTCGAATTAGAAAATAAGTATGCAAAAACGATGAAGTAGCATTGATAAGATAATTTAAGTATATACACATATAAAATAAATAAATTATAATTTTGTTTTTAAATAAGATATTTGATACCTTCTTAAAAAAATAAAAAATGAGAGCAAGGAAAATATAATATTATTAATTTTTTTTTTTAAATTGGATAATATATACAAAATTAGGAATTTGGATTTTAGTAATTCAAAATTCGTGCGAATTTGAAAAGGTTGAGCGCGTCACCTAACGTCACGTCGCGCACTTTAGTTCGGCGTTCGGCTAACAGAGGCAGTCTTCGTCGCGCTACCATACGGTATGGCCGTAGTTCGTCCAAGTTTTTACCTCCTCCCGAAATAATCCGAAGTGAAACATTCATAAGGGATGCATCCACCGTACGGGAATTAGAACAATTTTGGTGTGTTACGGGTCAGCAGATACGTGGTGAGTTTTAAGATCGAGTCTTACTATTTTTTTTTTTTTTTTTTACTTCGGACAATCATCGAACAAAAGAAGAGAAAAGCACGCGGACAGCATGTCATTTGACATCTGAATATGATAGACAACCACCCATTCTTACCCTCAAAGGATTGATGAACCGTTGTCAAATGGTATGAGAGTCTATTCTCAAGTAATTATATTGTCTTATCGTCGATCGTATTTTAGTCGTTTGATTTTTTTTTTAATTTCTGACGAACTAGCATTTTTTCTGTCAGGATGACTGCATGATGATAAACTCGAGAGACAAACGTTAAGAATGTTTTTACAATGGGATTAAATTGTTGTCTTTTAGCAAATTTCGATATTTTACTTTTGTTCTTTTCTTCTTCTTTTAGCAACTAGTCAGGTATCAACTTATAATTGTCTACTTTATTTATATTTCAAAGATCACAGATTCATCTCAAATGAGAAACACACACGTACGCGAGATATTTCTGTTTCAATAACATATAACGCTACTTCCAAATATACAACATATATGTAGATGGTTATACCGAAGGATTAGGGAGCAAATTTTTTTTACACGTACTCTAATTCTACCCTATATTTATTTACTCGAATAAACACGTTCACGTTCCAGTTACGACTCCCGCGTCCTGTTTTTCTCGAACACCTCTAACGAACACGACTCTGAAAGCTTTTTATTATTTGGCACTACTTGGAATATATATCTATATAAAACGCGGATAGAGGAAATAGATATTTTTATTTTCCGAGAATATTTAGCGCCTCGTATATTTAGTAAAATTTTTTTTCATTCGCTAACATAAACAAACTTTTATTCTTTTCATTTACGCAAACGACAATAAAATACTTTCGCAACTGGGAAGTGATGCAATCAATTTTTTTTATCGTCGTTCAAAAAATCGAACAAGAAAATTAGAATCTTTTGCCAGACGATAGTTTATTTTTTTTTTTATTGTTTTCAGTAAAATCGATCTGAAATCTATAAATAGATCAAACGGGCGTATAACTCAAGTATCATCATTGCATTACGTTTCCAAGTGTTTTATTTGTGAATATCACGTGGATTCTCCTCGTTAGTTTAGCAGCTTTTAACATCGGAAGTTTGAACCTATTGATGTTACTCGAATGTTAGGATAACGAACTCTTGTTTCAATTTATGATCATGATTTAGCAGCTGCTTTCCCAAACGAGGAAATCACGGGCTGATTCATTTCAGTACTCACGAGAGATACGATTAAATAAAATGAAAAAAAAAGAGAAGATTATCATCGTTTAATCATTATGTACATACAAATATATTTCTGCAGGTGTATGAATATTTTTATTAATTCTGTTTTTTTTTTTTTTTTTATATAAATCCCTCTTATCAAATTATTTAATCCTTTGCGCCCTCATTCGTAGGTTTTGGAACGAAGTTATTTTTATTTAATTACAAATAATTTCTGATTCGTAACATAATAATGAAAACAAATCGTAATAATTTCATTTATTCTTCTAAAAGATTGCAATTTAAATCCTTCTAGAAATGTATTACGTAAAGTAATTGGTAATGTGAGTATAAAGAACCATTAGAGTATAAAGGGTTAAAAACAAATATTAGTTACACGCATCGTAACCAATTTCCCGCGTAATTTTCAAACGCGATTGACAATCGACCATCGATTGACCATTCGTTTCGTTTTTTATCAATTCGGCGTGGAAAAATATCAATTTGAATTTTCATTTTTCTTCCTTTTCTCTCTCTTTCCTTTAAATCGCAAACGAGAAAAACTTATTGTCGCGTTTATTATCTCGACAATGGTGAATAGTTATGAGGTGTACCCCGAGAAGCTCGTTTATGAATGCATCCAGTTTCAAAGAAAATTGTGTCTTTTCTTTTTAAGCATTAGAACATGAAAAGAGAAAAGAAAAGAAAAGAAAACAAAACAAAACAAAGTAAAAGGTTGAATATGAATTTTCTATCGTGATTAGAGTTTATTTCGTTCAAGTCGTTCGTTAAATATTTTACAACTTTAATGGATCTTCATTTTTTGGAACAATCGATCGATAATTTATTTCCTTTAGTTATTTTTTCTTAATTATTTAAAAAAAAAAATAACGCAACGTACATCTTGTGCGTGGAAAATGAATTCTGAAGTATAAGGAAAAAACAAAAAATGCCATAATGATGGTGACATAAGGCGAAGACTAACTGTAGTGAATTTTGATTGGCTAGTCTGTTTCGATTTGCATCGATAATATTCAATTTGAATCCGATTAAGTCTTACACGTCACAATTTTTCTTTCTTTTTCTTGTTTGTCTTGTTATTTTTCCGATGTTTACAGAATTAATTTTTCAAGGTTTACAAACGCACGCACATTTGTATCATCTTACATTTGCATTGTCGATAATTTTTCCGTAACGTCATAGTAATCGCAAACAAAGGCACGATCCCTCCGGGTTCTTTCTATTATTTTTTTTTCTTTCTTTGTATACGCGTGTATGTTTCTCTTTAAATTATCTAAAAAAGAGTTGAATGTATGCGTTTCTTGCAAAATGTTGCAAGTAGTTAGACGATTTCTCTTAATTACGTTATTCGTTAGTTCATTATTGCAATAAACATTAACTCCTTTAGTAATCGTAAAAGAGAATCTTAATAAAATGCAATGATTCCCCTGGATGATACCTATCAAATAAAAATCTTGCATTCAAAAAAAAAGGATTCATTTGAATTTGTACGCACTTCAAAATATAGAAAAATGAAACGTAGCATTTTCGTGGAATAATATTAATTGATATTCCAAATAAATGATGTAATCGTTATCAATTTCTCCGCAATTGTTTCTCCTTTCATGGTTCTTTTTATTCTTTGATGGAACTCTTAAATATAAAATAATTAAATAAACTCGTTTTTTTTTTTTTTTTTAAATTGAACGATATATAGAGTTGATGAAGAAATCCGCTTCTAATTACTCATATATATAAACATATACGTATGCATCAGATTATCTAAATAAGAAATCGTTTCGAACACTTCAAATGAAGTTGGGCAATAGAGAATGAACATAAAAGAAAGAAAGAAAGAAACAAGGACGGAGGGAGGGAAGGAAGGGAGGAAGGAAGGGTGAAAGGAAATAAGGAAGGAAGGGTGATTGTGAAATCAGCCCTCTTTTTTGCATTTAATAACAGCTGTGCGTTAAAAGACTATATTGGATACACATCTATTAAATCGATAATTTTTCGGCGTTACAGGAAATCCTATGTCATCGTATATACGCACACACGTACACATAAAATGCAATAGACGTGTTGTTTCCCTCTTGAAATTGTCGTCGTTGTCGTCGTCATCGTTGTCATCGTCATCATCGTTGTCGTCGTCGTCGTCGTCGTCGTCGTCGTCGTCGTCATCATCGTCGCGTCTGCATGAGTACAAAGTATATACGATCGTCTCGAGTACGAGCTTGAAACTCACTTTTAACTGGCAGGGGTTAGCTAAAAGAAAAAGAAAGAGAGAGAGAGAGAGAGAGAGAAAGAGAGAGAGAACAATCAAAGCAAGAATTGAAATTTCTGTAACAATTTTTAATCGATTTGTTCAATAATTATTTAAATAACAATGATGAATTTAAAAAATAAACGAATGAATTTGTCTTTTTTCTTTTAAATTTGAGTATTTATCACAGGGACGAGACAAATTCTGTTATTAAATTAAAATGCAATTTATTTAATATTAATATTTTTATTATGTTAATGGTAAATATTTGTGTAGAATAAATATTGGAGATCTATCAAAAATTATATTTCGTTATTAAAATATGTTGTTGTTTTGTTGAATATAATTTTCTTTTTATATCTTGACGTGTTTAGCGATCGATAATTGTTCAGCACTAGCACACTAGCACACATTTCTTAATTTTTTTCAATATATATTTTATTATAAGTATTTTTAATTGAAAAATATTGATTAATAAAATTGTTAAAAATATCTGTCAAAGAATATTAGAATACTTGGAAAGTATTGAACACTTTCCTGTAGCAACCCCCAAATGACAACCCCCTAAAAAGAGAACGTAAGCACAAAATAAGTAAAATCTAAAAAAAGAATTGAGTATCAATAATCGCAAGGTGTCTTATTTATGAGCACAAGGTAAGGAACATAATAGAGGGGGAGGGGGAGGGTGGAGGAGGGGTGAAAGAAAGATTCAAGTAATTTAAAAAGTATTCCAAGATTCAAGATCGTGTTCAGTGCACGACACTGTTATTAATTTCATCGACCCATTTTCCACCCGCGCACGGATACAACACTGTCGTTGAGTCTCTTATGTTAGTGTCCGGCGACCTTGTCCGAGTAACTTGCCGATTATGTTGACTCTATGCACTTACATAGACGACAGGTGTGTTCATGCCACTTTCCTCCATCTCCTTCTCCACCTCTTCCTCTTCTCCTATCTCACTTTTCTCGTCGTCTATTCACGTGATATGTAGTTTTAAAATACTACCAGGACGATATGCCAAGTAGAAACTTAAACGAACGTTCCTGATCTTTTCAAACTAGTCCCATTCGTGATTTTATTCACCTCATCTCTCTAATCATTGAGTTATCTTCCAACGATCTTCCAGATCATTCTAACTGATTTTTTATTCTCGCCAATCTATTGGTGACAGGGATCTAATAATAGGGGTGTG